TGCGTTGAGGCTCTTTCCTCCGCAACAATTTAGTTGTAAATTTATAATACCAGAAGCTGAGATTAGTTTGGATAGGTCTCTCCCTCCGTTACCCTCACTTATCCCCTGTGTCTGTGTGCGATTTTTATGCGCCCCTAGAAGGAAGAATCAAATGTAGAAGTAGCCAAGGGCAAACAAGGGATGAGGCACAGGAGTCCCGAAGCTGATACTGAAACCGTGGCTAAGGATGTGCTGGGGGGCAATTGAATTCGAGGCGCGAAATTGCGAAATTAAATTTGCAGTTATTGCCCAACCATGGAGAATTGGTTAGCACAGTCTGTCTAACGGTATCGATGGTGTCTCATGCCCCCTGCCACTGCCACAGCCCCAGTAATTGCCACAGTCACGGATTGAGTAAGACATTCCCTCCCATTCGGAAGGCTGAGCATGGGAATGAGCCCGAAACTGCAGTGCAGATGTATCTCTGTATCTTTGTATCTGTCTCCGGGAGCTGCTGCTCTTTTGGCTGGCACTTTTATGGCATTTTGGCTCTGCATTTGCATTCAAATGGCGCCATCTGGCTAACCCCAAGAAAAGAAGGAAGCCCATTTGATAGGCCTCTAAAGAATGAATAATAATAGTTCTAAAAGATGGAAGAGGGAAACGTGGATAGTAGCAGGAACAGGACTGTTTTTGTTATTTTATTGCATTGAAATGATTGAGAATTTGCTGAAATTTCATGAGATTCATGAAGTCTACATCTTGGCTATCACAAGCTTAGACAAAAATATGAATATAAATAAAAGAAAAGGGCTAAAAGTGGCATCGCATTTTATTTAGGAAACAGGAAAATATTTTCATAAAATTCAGGTCTACCCAAAAAAACTCTTTGAAGTGAAGCAGGATATATTTTCACGCGTATCTCTCAGACATCCTTTTGGCTGTTGCCTGCTTAAAAGAGTTTCATATTTGGTGTTACCAAATATTCCCTCCATTTATTTGCATCCTCCTGCTCCGCCGCCCTGCCCTTACTCTCTTTCAGTCGTGTCTCAAAGTGAATCGCTGAAATTGCCACCAAAAAGCAATTGTGGAGAGGAGAAATCCATTTCAGGTTATCCGCGAATTTCAATCAGTCCCAGGCGGCCTTCATTGACAACCAAATGGGGATTGGGATTTTTGTTGGTTGGGAGCGGGACTGGTTTTCGGCAGTGGATAGTGGGGGGGAGTGAGGACCGCATAAAAATAAACACAAAGGGCATACGTGAGATGCCAGTGAAGTGTGCGGGATGATGGCAGGGGGAGGGTGGAGGGTGGAGTGTGGAGGGTGAGGGAACACACGCTCCACTCGATTTAAAGGCATTTGGAAAATATTCTCTCGGTGAAAAATTGCCGGAATAAAATCCACTTAAGCAGCTTTGACAAAACTACCAACGAAGTTGATGAAGACTCTTTGGGTGCGCCAGTGCTTTGGATATTTTAGATTTGGAGGGTATAAAGAGGCAGACTTACAGCTAGAGACACAGACACAGATACAGATACAGATACAAGCACAGCTGGCTAAGATTTATGGCATCTTTTACATGCCAACCCGTCAGCCCCCAACTCTGGAAAGAGTTGTGCTCCAGTGGCAGAAACTAGGGAAAATCTCATCAAATTTGTTTAAATGCCCATAAATCTCAACGGGCAGCTGCAGCCTCTAAAGCGTGGCGGGGAGGAGCATTGACGGGAGGAGGAGATGGCGATGATCGGGCTCAAGCTTCATGTAAACAATCATTAAAAATCATTAACCATTGGCGCCACTTTCTCATAATAAACGGATTCGGATGCTCATAGTTACCGAAACTCCACAAACTGAAACCGAAACCGAAACCGAAAGCAGCAAAAAAACTGCAGTTCGCATACACAGATGCGTGTGTACATCCATGGATCTGGGAAGCCTGGCATCAGATGCAACTTTGTTTATGCAATGGCAGCGTGAGAAATTCGCCACGCCCGCCCCCCTTCTAGCCCTCTTCTGGCAGCCCATAAAAACCGCGTTAGCCATAAACAAAAATCGAAGAAAAAAAGAATTCCAAAACAGAAATTATTTGGTTTTCTGGTCATGCCTGAAAGAGCAAGGCGCCAACTACAAGATACAGCTACGAGTGCGAGAGTACAAAAGTATCTATCCAACAAAAAATGCACAAATCTATCCCCCGTACTCGTATTCCCCTCCTAGTCTATCAAAAATCCGAGGCTGCCAAACAGCAAACAGAACCAAAATTTTTATTGGAAACATTTTTATGGCTCGGCGTTTTTATGGCCTCAGGCCTCCAGTAAAAAAAGGGAGAAAAACGACGGGGAAAATAGAAAAACGAATACAAAAACCATCGCGTAACAAAATAGCAAATTGAAAACATCCAAAATAATTAAACAACAAATTGCGCACAAAACCAATAAACAAAATATAAAGCAAAGAGAGAGACAGAGGAGAGAGCGAGGTGGGGAAAATGGGAACTAAGGAGGGATGTTTGGAAGAAAACGGGAAACGGGCAGAGATAATCAATCAATTGGAGTGTGGGAGGAGTGGCCTTGTTAGGGTATAATTTCATGAATCTATATGATAAATGGGGGTACTCCGTGGGGTTACTCAAGCTCAGAGTTCAATGGAGTTTATTAAAAGGAACTTGAGGGCTGCTGCTGCATAATTTATGACATTTATCATTGATCGAAGTGGCTTTTGGAAACTTTACTTAAACGTTTACTTATTTATTGTATTTTCACCTCATCTTAGCATACAAAATTGCTTAGGAAAGTGCAGTTGAGTATTCAGATAAGTTTGATTTCAGATTAGTTCTGCCACTAGCAAAATGATTATCTACTTTTACCAGAATGGAATTACCCATTCAACTAAGTTTTATGTTTGTTAAAGAAAGTCTATTAACATATATTTTATATGTTACTCCAATGCGCAGTGCGAGTGCAGCTTTGAATCGGATTAAAGCTTATCTTAGGCAATACTTTCGCGACACTATAATTCCCAACTGGGTCTGCCACCGCGATAGTGATGTTCCGTGTGCTTTGGGCCCTGGGTATTCAATTAACACGATGGCAATGAATTGCTGTTTGCCTTCTGCTTACTTTGGCGAGATGTCGTCTGATCCCCATAGTTTGTGCTCTTGAATGCACTGCAACGATTAATGGTATGTATCATTTGGGCTCATATTTTTTTCTGGGTAGCATAAGTTAATTCATGTTCGTTGGAGCATGACATTTTTTACACCAATACATTTCACATTTCATTGGAAAAATCAAAGCCAATCTCTAGCGCACTTGCAGCCTATTTTTCTCGTGGAAAATTCAACATTATGCCATCCTTACAACAAATTTAAAACTCCCTCAATTCGAGTCAACATTCACAGAAAAGAATCAGATGTGCGTAATAGATGCGTCAGCTTAGAAGCTACTTACAAGTATCAAAATAAACAAGAAGCCGCAACCACATCCACATCTCCAGCTACTCCATCCACAGCAGCGTATTATAGCCATATACATGGATGGCTCTAACCAATCTCAATTGTTTCGAGACCCACGCCGTGGCAGTGGGTGTGGCTGTAGCTGGAGCTGTAGCTGTAGCTGTCCCGAAGATGGCTATAAATCTGAGCGTCAAACGGGGGACGCGAGCGACGGAATAATCAGAAATCAATACAATCTGCGTAATATGTTTTATGCGTTGACTTCTACTGGATCTGCGATTTTCTGGCCTGGCCTGGCCTGGCCTGGCTCTGTCTTCTTTGCCATTTTCCAAGCAATTGAGTTTGATGATGCCACACATAGCCCCCACTCCTGTCTGCCGCTGCTGCTCTTGCTACTCCTTCGATTAAGCCGCAGCCCGAGGGCCATGACGTGACTTTTGCCGTTTTCTTTTCTGCTCTCCACGATAATCAAAAATCACGCACACAATGGATCCTGTAATAGTTGAATTGAATTGCCCTTTGCCAACTGTGCGGTGTGGGGTGTGGAGAGGGGGTTGTGTTTCCAGCATGTCCTTGGTCTCATCCTCCCCCGCAACAAACACCAGACCCCTTCCCATTCTACCATGTTGACTTTATTGGCCTCATTGCAGGAGGCGACGACGAGGACGTGGACGAGGACGGCGACGACGACGACGAGTACGAGAAAAAGGATGAGAATGACGATGAGCTGCAACACCCATTTCCTACACCCTGTGCCCCCACCTCAGCTCTATGACATGCTTTGACATAGCAGCGCCCCCACAGCACCACTCTCCGCCACCCCAAGCGAAACGACCACGCCCCCCATTCGGCCGGGGCCCAAGACAACCCTCAACGGGGCACATGGCATCATTACACGGCCGCGTCGCACGCAAAATTGTGCGAAATTTGGTGAGCCGCGTGTGGCAAGTCGTGTGGCGGATTCAATTCGCAAACTTTCCAGCCCCAGAAGTACAGCTACAGATACTTTCACCACCCTTCACACACACACACACAGACCAAAGGCCCATTCCCTTTCCTTTTTGGGCAGAATTTAGCTTTGTTCTTTGGCAGTCGGAAAGCATTTAAAGAGCGTTTTGGGAAACGCAACAGCAGCAGCAGCATATGGAAGAGCAGTGGGAACGAAATTTATATTTGTATTTGATACTTTGAAAAGGTCACGAGAAAAGCACACAAATTATATGGGTATAGTCAGATGCGATGCAGATTTTAAATAAAATAATTTATAGCCATATGCTAGACTCTAGCGAACTCCTTCCATTTCCTTCTAGTCGTGACAGAAGTATTTTCGGTACACGAAGTTCCAGTTACCGCAATACTTGGGCACAAATCGTTTTATTTTTATCTTAAACCAATTGACTACAAAAGAAGAGCATTCATAATTCCGATCTGTACATATACATACATTTATTTCCATTGTCGGGCATCTGAAAAACTCTGAATTTGTCCTTCAAGTAGGCTGCGGCTTTAGTATTCTGTTACTTAGCTCCCTTTTCTGGCTTAATTTTCAGTTCACGTTCTGCCTTCGAAGTGGAATAATCTCATCCGAAAAATTTGAGCTAACTAAATTTCCGGAAAATTATTTAATTTACTTTTTTGTTTGCTTTGAAAGATTTGCTTTGCATTTTTAATACAAATTTAATTGTTTCTAGTTTCTTGTGTGCCTCAAAATGATAAAGAATTTGGGCCAATTGTGCCGCAGCCGCTGCGGTCCCCTTCCCTTTGTGCAGCAGACTCGTAAGTGGAAGCCTACAATTCGTAGTTAGTGTAATGGCAAACAATATTCGGTGGTCTACAGCCACCATTCTGGTGAAGAACTTTTCGAGTGCCCCAACTTGGATGGGCCGTGCTGCTCCTAAGCCTCTGTATTTGACTGCCGCTCGTTACAAGAGCACCAACACTAAATGGACTACGCGCACCGATAAAAAGGAGGATGAGCAGGAGGACAAGAAGGAGAAGAAATTCAAGCCTATGGAGCCCCAAGCCCGTCGCTTGCAGCTGAACAAAAGCGCCCAATTCGAGCGCTACGATTCGGGTCCGGTTCCGGCTCAAAACAATAAATCGATGCAAGAGTCCCCTGAAGAAGAGAATCCTTTGGCCCAGAAGCAGAAGATGGAGCAGAAGTTGAAGAATAAGAAGATCACCGAGAAAATGCAAGAGCTGATGAAGGCTCGCGTTGCGAATCCGGACAAGTAGCTGCACCACAAGGTGAGTGGTCACTGCCATTTCCAGGAAGTAACAAACTCCTTTGATGCATAACAAACTCCATTAGATACCAGGACCACCGCCCCCCCCATCGTCTACAGATACATATACATATACACACAGACATTGTCATTGTCATTGCCCGGCTCTCCGCGGACATTCATCAATTGTCCAATGAAAATATTGACAAGTTTTTTACGAGCTGGTTGAGTGATCTGATCTGATCTCTGTGCTGCTCTCCGCTGATCAGATGTGTCGTCCCAGAGTTCTCTTGCCGCATCGTTGGCCACTCACACCCCACAACAACCCAGGCAATATGGAAGTCCCGTAAATTAAAACATCAGACCCGAGGCAATGACGTCGTAAAGAAATAAATAAAACATCAAACACTAAGAGTAGAAAATGGTAAACGGCAGTGGAAAATCTATTGACTCTGGGATGTGGGATGGGGGGAAACAATGCCTTGGTTCGAGGCGACAAAAGGACATCTACCGTTTGCATTGGGTGATATAGGCAGAAAGGACACGAAAAGGAAGACATCGAATGTCAAAGTCTCCGCTTTGTCTGACTGCAACTGGGCGCTGACTAGACAAAAGGGGGCTGATCGTGTTGGAAAACTCTGGCACAACAGAGAGAAGATGAAAAAAAAAGGACACTGCGAGTGTATCCCTCTCAGCTGACTTCTGCCCTATCTGCTATCAAATGCTATCTGTGTCTGCCCGTCTCTCCGTCTCGTTTTCCTTCTATTCGAATGAATCCTTTGTCTCCCCGAGGCCAGGATCAATGAAAACGTTGAGCGGTGAGCGCTCGGCAATGAATGAAAATGCTCGATCCCTTCGGCGAGGCTGCGTGGCTGTGACAGTTTCTGGCTTGACAAACAAACGCAATGTTATCCATTGTCGCAAAATGCTACTAAGAATTATGTTGTCCTCGACACAACGGCAGCCAAAAAGAGAAAAATTCTATTAAATAAAATTAATGTCCTTTTTTTTTGTAGTTGCTGCTGGCTCGGGGATCCGACTCCGACTCCTGCAGCGGATGCAACGACAAATATTTGTAAACGCGCCCTTTTTTTTACCTTTTTGAGTTTTCCAGTGCCTTGCCCAGGGGGTGTGCTGCCATTGAGGGGGCTCGTTGTTAGAGGGGGGAGGCCGGGCAGCTGAAGTGCGGCACCACACGCCCAGCCATTCCAGAGGAGAATGGATGGTGGATGGGTGCTGGAAAAGTTTGAAGTGGAAATTCGGTTTGAAAGAAAACTAATGGGTAGGTAAATCATAATGGAAAAAATAAAGACACATTCTGAATGTGACACAAACACTAATTATGTAGAATTTATGTACATATGTATCTAAAATATGTACAACAAAATAGTGTCATTTTTGTGCTATTTTTGTATATCTGAAACCATTTTGGAATACCATTTAAAATGATTAAAAACTGTTTAAAACTTGAACCCACTTTTACTTCACTCTTTCCATATTTTACTTCCATTAATTTTACTCCCTTGTTGCGAATCGTATTCTATGTATCCGGGGTGTTCAGGGTATATCAGATATGTACATATAAATGTACTTCGCTTCGTGAGCTTTTTCCTGCTCAAAATGTATGAACGCTTCCCATTTGGATTTGGCTTTATTTCTCTGCACTCTGCCTATTATTATCCACACACTATCATCGGACAAGAACACAGTCATAGCCGGTACAAAGCCATCCCACATAAAAGTAAATGCTGCATGGGGCAAGATGACACGCGGCACTCACCACCAGCGGCAGCGGGAGCGGCATGCACCAAGCACCAAGCACCACCAAACAGACGACAGAAGCCGCTCGTGATATTATTATAGAGGTTGAATGTTGCTCTTGTTGATGATCATCATCATCATCTGCGGCAGGCGGTCACCAACCAAAAACGCGCGGCCTTCCACACACTCACACATGGGGGAGAGTGAGAGTGAAAGAGCAGGAACACAGACACACACACACAGATACACAATGAGTAGAGGGAAGATTCACAGATACGCAAGAACGAGCCACACATTTTAGATACAAAAACAGCGTGAGAGCCGCGCGGTGGTTTATGCTTGTTACGGGCCAAGGCCGGGGTAGGGGGACATGGCAGAAGGCCAGAGGATGGGTGGGGAGGGAAGCGGTACGTACCTCTTGAGAGCAGCAACACAAACACACAAAAACTAAATGCAACCGAAGCGTATCGTGCATTTTTCTTGTTTCTCTTTTTTGGGGTGTGCACACGGGCACACACACACGAATGCAGTAGCAGTGCCACTTAAAATGGCGGACACGGTGGATTGGTGGGGGGGGGGGGGGGGAAGCGTGACAAAAAGAAACTTAAGAGGAAAAGGGGGGGGGGGAGGGCGGGATAAGAAGAAGACGAAGGAGGGGGGGAGGAGGGG